CAGCGTAGTTGATTACCCCTATATTGACTTGAGTTTTGTTCAAAAAAAACATAAAAAAGTTCGCATATATGGGTTCGGGGCATGCCTGTAGGTCTGGAACGGTAATAGTTATAGATCTACGGGTGGTCTTAAATGAAACAGGACATGCCCCTCTATCATGTGAATGAAAAAACCCTCACCCTTCTATCCGAACTTTTGGAGGAAAAGCGACTTTAAAAAGTTGAATGGATAGATGGCGCCATCGGATGACCAAAGCAGACCGAATGTTATACCGTTTGATAAAGTTATCTTTTCTCTTTCTAACAACGCAAATCGCACCTCTATACGTGCTTCCGTTAAAGAGTTATTCAAGCTACAACCAACTCCATTGTCCGATGAAATTGAGAGTAGTAGCTGCACCTACAAGAAATATTGGCAATTCAAAAAGCTGATTTCTATTATAAGAGAAAATCTTTTTCGCAATATCTTCATAACTAATCCGTTAATGACTCACAGAGCTAATTTTTAATAAAATACATTTTTTTACACTTTCGGGTTTGCTCTACAACGAGGCATAAACGGTTATTTTGAATTTGGAAATAAATACTTTATCAAGGGGTTGCATGACCAACGATCCTCAACTAGCCACTACGGTAGATATACCATTCGATGGAGAGTTTCTCGCCTATAATTAAATATATATCAAATAGTGATAAAAGTATTATAGGGTACCTTGCCATTAGATATACTTTCTGCAAAGCCGGGACCAGGACATGTCTGGTTGAACAGTGAGCATCCGATGATCAACGTTTCTCATCTAGCCAATACGACAGACACACCATTCGATAGAGACTTTCTCATGCTAGAATTCCATGCACATGAAATAGTGAAAAAAGTGTTCTAGGGCACCTTGACATTAGAAATACTTTGTGCATAGCTGAGGCAAGTGATTGACTTGTTCAACAGTGAGGACACTCTGATCAACGTTTCCCATCTAGCCACTACGATAGATATACCATTTGATAGCGAATTTCTAGTGCTATAATTCCATATATGGGTAAAACCAGCGTTGCGGGACGTGACGTTCGTAAACTTTGAGCCACTATATATCTGAAGTGTTAAACTTTCTGGTGATGCTATTTATACGAAAAACGCGTATCAAGTTGCTAACAATGCCACCGATTCTTAGGATACTTGTTAAGATTACTTTTTTCGCGAAAAACTACGTCGTTCCGGACGTGACTGAAAAAGACAAACATTTTCAGTGCATGTAGAGCTCTCTTGAATTTCTGCGAACTGGTGAAACAAGTTTCGAATTTTTAAACTGCATTTTGTAGAAGATACTTCCGGCTACAAAATTGGTAGCAATAGTTTTTCTAAAGGGCTTTGGTATTCTGCACTGCATTCCATTGAAATCTTCGTTGCGGACGTGACCGAGTGCGAAATCTAAAAGGAAAAAGATCATTGCTAGTACATTCTTTTTACCTGTAGGACTTCTACTTAATAGAAATAATACATAAGAATCTCCACATCGTAACTGAATATAAGTTTTTCAACTACGTCTCCAGGAGATCTCTAGAAAACCTTTTAAACCACGATAAATGAATGTCTCCAATTTTGCTGAAAATTTGACAGTAGATGCGCATTAGTAATAGAAACATTTTCAGAAATTTTTAAGAGCAAAGACACTATTTTCGAGTTGCTATTTGCAAATTAACTAACTAATCAGCTAATTAGGTTTGATTAATTATAGTTTCAAAGAGCAAAGTCTTCTTCATATATTTAAATAATAAAGAGTTATCTGCAAAAATGAGAGTAGGGAGAAATTCAAGATAAACAAACGATAGTCATGTCCACTTTTGCCTGGTTTTACCCAAATATGAAATAGTGATAAAAGTGTTCTAGGGCACCTTGACATTAGAAATACTTTGTGCATAGCTGAGACAAGTGGCTGACTTGTTGAACAGTGAGGACACTCTGATCAATGTTTCCCATCTAGCCGCTACGATAGATATACCATTCGATAGCGAATCTCTAGTGCTATAATTAATTATATATGAAATAGTGAAAAAACTGTTCTAGGGCACCTTGACATTAGAAATACTCTGGAATTTTTACAAGGCTTCAAGTCTTCCCGGCAAGAACTTGATGTATTTTCAAGAGAACCTCAAGGTTTAACCGTAAGAACTTGGTGTATGTTCACGATTACTTCGCTAGAACTTGGCGTATCTTCAAGAGAACTTCATGTTTTCTCTATAATAGCTTGGCGTATTAGCAACATAATTTAAGTCTTCGAGACCGGCTGTATTAATAAGAAAAAAAATTCAACATTGAAAAAGCTTCGTATACGTTAATAATCGTTTTGGTCTTAAAATTGATTTTTCTCATTTTCATTACGTCCTTCTGTAAAAATAAGATAATATTCTTGATCCTCGGACAAAGCAGAATCGAACGGTATATTATACGAATATAGAAAACGAAATAAACAATCAGTCTTCGGCTTCCCCTATAAAAAGTTCAGAAATAATTTTACAAACCAATCTGGTTGTTTCTTTGAAAAGATGGAGCCGACTTTTGCACTTCATTAGAACCGCCATTAAACGAGCTTTAAAAGTACATATTGCTTCTCTTTTTATCGTGCTTTTTCATTGAGAAAGTTCATATTTTCTATAACAGGAGCGCAAAAATCGATACGAAAACGGGTACCAACGGAATTACCGTACGGATCGTAACTATAATGAACGAAATTATAAAGAAAACCACTCATACGAAAACTATCATAATCAAACATCTAATAATTATCATTATAATAATAGATTGCATCGGCCCACGGCATGATCACACGAATCGTAATTATAACCAACAGAAATATAAAGAAAATCGCTCATACAGGAACTATTAAAATCAAATAATTATTATTGTTATAATAATAATTGGAATGGGTGTCCTCGTAAAAATTATCAACAGAAACAATTTTCCATACCGTTAATTAACCGTTTTGAGCTATTTCAGAAAACACCACAATTAAAACCACAATCATTTTCACGTTCTCGGTCTCGCCCTTATTCGACATCTGGTAGCAAATCTCGACAACAGCGTCAAATAAATATTAATAAACAAAATAAACACCAACTACGTACAACATATTTAAGACCAGATGCTATAAATTACACTTTTAAAGAAGAAGAAAGGGGTGAATTAAAGACAATTAATTATCATGATAATAAGTTCAAAACGGCATGTTATATACAACTATGGAAAGAATATTTAAAGTTTGGCATAACACAGGATCAACCATTGTGGGTACAAGAGGTTATATACAATAAAAATACAAGAGATCATAATATAAATTTAAAATTTTGCAACAAGCGGATCGAATAGTATCCGAAAAAATACAACAATATATGAAGCGAAATACAAAAAATCGAACAACAACCGATGTATCAATATTACCACTGACAAATGAGTCGGAAGTACAAAAACTAAAACGTGTGAATCGTGACATACAAAAATATATTATTGCACAGACGGAAAAATTTAAAGACGCACCAACATCCAAACTGGATTTCTTAGATATGTTTAACTTCATGTTTTTTATAAGTAGGGTGTGCGTTTGAATTAAAACCTCTACAATATGGAAATAAAGAAATAGTTGGGAAAATATAAATCCAGAATCAAGCAGTAAACAACAGTATTCGTTGTGGTGATTGTAGAGGTCGTATAATCTGTCCACTTTTCGTTTATTTGACCAGTCACAAACTAGCTTTATTCAAATGAATATGCATAATTCATACAGGATCCTGTGTGGAGTGCCAGGAAAATTAGTAAATCTATCTCGAATGAGAAATCTTGTTTCGTCTCACATGGTACCGAAAAGCATCAGTAATCTAAACCGTTTCTGAAGTTCTCCTGAAGATCCTTTGATAGCACCACTGCAGTCTTCTTCTGGAATTACTCATAGTCCATGGGTGATAACCTTTCATATCATTTATATCAAAAGTTATTCGGCTAATATTTTTCGTAACAAAAGAGACAGTTTTTTTTGTAAAATCCTAACTAACATCCGCACAATAGCAACCGTCAAATTCCTATATGCATTACGTATTAACTTTTTCCTTTCTCCATTTTCTTCTTTCATGTAAATTTTTTCCTTTCTTTGTACAAACGACATCATTATTTTCAATTTTCGATTGGTCGATGGTTAATAACGCTTGAGCTAGTCCACTCAAGATGTTGCAAGATCTCAAGTGCAAAAATTTTCTTTACATTTTGTTTTTCATTCATTACAGTCATAGCCATCAGATATATGTACCGGAAATATTCAAGAAGTCAACATCTTGGTTACAAAACGTTCACTAGAGTAATCGACTAGTCAATCAGGTTTCTGATTCTGAGTTATTCTAAGAATTTTTGCAGGCTTCTCGACTCGCTCCCGACGATATCGACCTTTCACCTCACAGGGTACGAAAAAGCATCAGTGATCTAAACCTTTTCTGAACAGAACATTAGCTTGTCTAAAGTACTCCTGAAAGGGAGTGTGAAAAATTGTGGAAAACTAAATCTTTAAGGAAGCCAAATCGGTCAGAAAGTCTTAACCATTAAATGCGATACTCTTTGCGTGCTTTTTTTGCTGCATTGATAGAAAAACTTTTCGCCTTTTCCCGCTTTTCTGGTCTAAGCATCTGGGAACTCTGATCTATATTTTTCATATGTCTGAAAGCATGTGTGAGCAGAAACACTTCAGAAAAGCAAATGTACCTTTTTCTTCCCCATTGAGGACACATGCATATATATATAAAACTGGCACGAAAACTGAATAAGTTGAATGAAATTAACGTCGCTTGCAATCTGGAACAGTCATAAAAAGCTCGCACTTGTTTTATGTTTCTTATGGGTCATTGCGCGCAGTGCGCACCCTGAGTTCGACATCAGTGCGCTCATATGTCTAAACAAAAGAAAAACAGGAACAGCATATGACTATTGCTTAAAAGCGGACTGAATGGCTCATTCTAACCTTCGCTAACTTCTCTACCTCGCACGACACTATGTTTTGTATGACTGACATCTAACTATTCCTTCGGGAAAGATGCTGCTCCGAACAATTTTTTCTCTAATAGTAGTAATCGAGTTCATCTCTATAAATACGCTTTCTTTCGCTCCTGCTCTAAGAACCCTACTTCTAAGTGGTTACTAGCTCGATCACACGCATGATTGCTCGATCCATTAAATACTATCGGTCACTTAGTCCGTACTTTGCGCACATAATTGGACGATTGTGCAGTTTGTCTACGTCAAACAACAACTATTATATATTGCGTGCTTTTAGACTAAAATTACGGAAGTATCTTCATTTTTCTACTGTTCCTGTTTATGTTACTTATATAGACTAGTCTGTCGCATTGTGATGTAGACTATATAATCTTATCAGAATCCACTGATTCACTTATAGTTACATTTTCATATCCAAGCAACAAAATATTACTAGCAGTGCCGCCTACGGACGACTTCATATTAGTTCTTACTGTTCGTAACTAGTTCATCTAAAATTTATATTATTGAAACAAATAAATGTCGAAAAACGCTATTATGACCATCGACGACTTTATATTATTTGAGAAAACAAATACAACCGATGAGCGTCACGAATTTATCAATGGAACAATAACAACGAAAATGCCCGGTGAATTACTCAACGCAAATAAAATAAACAAAAACATTCTGATCCTATTAAACTCAAAATTAGATGAGGATAATTATGAGATTGTTACACACGATGTAATGATAAAATGTGATAATCAAAACATTCGATATCCTGACCTTGCCATTGTTGATCAATCAGCGATAAATGATACACATGTAATCAATTCTCCGATCGTCGTATGTGAACTATATTAAAAAAACTCGAAACACCGTGATACTGTAATTAAACTCGATCAATATCAAAATATCGATTCACTTCGTGACTATTTAGTCGTATCATCTGAATCTGTTTGTGTCGATCTTTATCATCGTGACAGTACAATGGATGATTGGACAACATCAACATTCAACAACATATATGATAAAATGGCGATCTTAGGTGTAACTTCCTGATAAAATCCTGAAGGATCCTGTATGAATTATGCATATTCATTTGAATAAAGCTAGTTTGTGACTGGTCAAATAAACGAAAAGTGGACAGATTGTACGACCTCTACAATCACCACAACAAATACTGTTGTTTACTGCTTGATTCTGGATTTATATTTTCCCAACTATTTCTTTATTTCCATATTGTCGAGGTTTTAATTCAAACGCACACCCTACTTATAAAAAACATAAAATTTCCTCTTTGCAGCATTACTCAAGCATGAGATTTCATAACAAATTAGCTAGTTGCACTTGCTGAGGAAGCGTCCCGCACTATTGTTAATACCAGTACTTCTGTAACAAATATATTTCATTGTCAAATCCTTTTCTAGCATAAAACGTTTTGTAATTCTGATTACTGCTAAGCTATCCATTTATTCGCAAACGATCATAAAAAAGAGTAAAGATTGCTAACGTTTCCGTCAATGAACATTAAACCAAATTTTTATTATGGTTTTTTATCAAAATTCTTTTAGAGTTTCGTTTTTTTCCACTAATCATTGTTGCCTAAGCTATGTATGAATTAACACTTGTTTGAATTAAAAAAAACATACAAAATAACAAATGAGTTTTCATATACGAGAAAACAAATCACACGCTACATGTACAAAAAAAGATTGAAGAATAATTAGACACGCACACACAACTATTAAAAAATGCCGCTAAGAGACGTAGAAAGTAAGCACACATACAAATGAGATTACAAAAGAAATAAAATTTGTACAGAACACATGAGAAGACACAATATACCAATGAATGAACGGCAGCAGAACAGTTTAAAAAAGAGCGTAGACTGATCGTTTCTTTGTCATAAACGCCATCGATTAAACGGCGCAAAAATGATTCATTGACGAGACGTTTACAATCCGTCAAGCGTTAACGTCTTTTCGTCATTGACAGCAACAAACATTATGGAACTTACCACTATGGTAACGTCTCGTCATATAAGAGACACATCATTCGGTTACGACAGAGAAAACATGTCACAATTAATTGCCAAAGATTTAAGTCATATTCTTGTGCAGCATAAGCCACTCTGAGAAAAAAAAGGAGCCCTGCAGAACCTTTTTGTGGGTTCTGCTATCAGGTAAAACGTAGAATCCTCAAAATGATTCTGACTATGTGAAGGTTCTGCGAAGATCTGAAAAAAAGCATTTCTGATTGGCTATCAAAAAAAGTTCAGTCTGATATAAAAGGTGTCACACAATGGTTTATCGAAAAACTCTAGTCGATTTGTGATAACAGTTCTTCATTTGTGGAGCAGTACTGTCTTAGACTATTGTATACTATATCTCAGAAAAACGATCCACTATCAACCGCAATTTATACCTGATTTGTTAGAAATGTGAAGACTAACCAAAGCAGCCATGCTGGTGTAGAGAAAGTTAATGCTAAAATGGATAGAACGTTTTCAGACTCTCTATTGACAATCAAGGTCAACCTAAATAGAGAAAGGAAAGTATCTGATTTTAGTTTCCAATATCCCTCACCATGAATTGAGAATCAAGCTCAACCTAAATAGAGAAGAGAAGGTAAACAGCGAAGTAAAGTACTTGAGTTCAGTTTCTAATATTGCTCACGATTAATTGATGTTCGTAATGAATCTTATTGTCTGAAACAAAACAAAGCGCTTGGTTCTTATTTCTGGTAGCACATGATCCAGCTCGATATGCGGGGAAAAACTGTTCGAGGCGATATGAGCGACGATAGTCTTTTCATGTACTGTCGTAACTTCAAATTTTTGTTAATATAGAAGTTTTTGCTTCTCTGATTTGGGGAATAAATGAGGGATATTTGTAAATCTTTGCGTATAATAGTGTTTTTTTTGTTTTAGTATTTAATAAAGCGGCTAGAACATAAATGACAAATTTACAAAGGAAGAAACACGGGATAGATTACTTCTCGGAATCACCATATCATTAATAAACATCTTTTATCATCCTAAAATATCTTTTGAATTCATATTCATTGGTTTTTTTTAGTAAAATGGAATATATAAATGACAAAAGAAAATCGCTGAAGAAATTGAATCTAAGAAGTATAATAAGAAATTAAATAAAACTCAATTAAATAAAAACAATTAACGGAAGAGAAAAAACATTTGCTTAACATATATCTCTGAAAAGCAAGTGCATTTAGGCATTATTATTAGAAGAAGGACGTTACATCCTTTATTTATGCTCTTCAGAAAAAAAGCTTATGATTGTGCAAGAAAGAAAGCAATTTTCAAACAGAATGCGATGGAAGTAATG